GGGGGGGCTAAAGCCACAAACATAATATTTTTTCAATATACTGAGCCAAACTGTTGTTGTATACCCCTCTCAAAGTATTCGCTCGTTTGTGTGTTGTTGGTCGGCCAGCCCTCTGCGGAAGTCCTTCCTAAGTAAATATGTCAACTTTTCAATGTTTTAGGTGTATACTATAAGCCTCTATTTATTTGTTTAACCCGCTTTAGGCTTACAACAAAGAAACTTACAACAAAGAAAGCGTATCGGAACCTTAGTTTGCAGTGACTTTTGTGAATGGGCTTGTATATTTTGTTGGCAGCTGAACTTTTCGACCCGCATGCGAAGATCCAGAAAGATTAACAGAGCGATTTGTTTTTATCCCGTTTTAGCCGTGGTCAGACCAAAGTGAACGAGCTATAGATCAGGCGCTTCTTTTCCTCTCCTTCTGTCTCAGGAATATGTCAACCACCTCCCTCTCCACTCTATCCCCCAACTCCCCCCCTTTCCATTCCAACCCCCTCCCTCTTCCCCCCAAATTCAACCCTCCCCTCCACCCCAACCCCCCTCCCTCCTCCCACCTCCCCCACCCAATCCCCTCTTGACGGATCTGCTATGTGGTATAGACGTTAGAACACTTTGCGTCAAGCCAGGGGACTCCAGGATCGATTCCTTTCAGGATCCCCTGTGCCCCAGTTTGACAAAGCAGGCCACGCTGTGCCATGTCTCTATCTTAGAATCACAAAGTTCTATCTGACAGTTTTGGCCGTGTTGAGTTACAAAGACCATGAGGTCAGAAACCAAATGTTCTATCTGCTCTATCAAAATCGTAAGATTATTCAGGGTTGTTATCAAGATATTCAAAGAAATGCATTTGAAAAAGCTTGGCATGTTGTGAAGCTCAAAATCTTTAACGTCACATTTCTCAAAACTAGGCAGTGAGTAGATAGAACTTTGTAACTCTGAGGTGGCCCTAAGCTACCGTTGAGCTACCACTCCAATGTCCTTCTGTCTGTCGTCAGGTCAAAGCATAAACTACTCACAGCTAGATGTCCTTCTGGATGACCCCGTGTTGCACCTTCCAGACGAGAAAAGGAAAATCGCTGAACGAAAAGCGAAACCAAAGAAAGAAGCAGAAACTTCATCATCATCATCATCATCATCGTCATCATCATCATCATCATCATCATCATCATCATCATCATCATCATCATCATCATCATCACTATCGGAGACGGCCGCTGAGATAGAACCAGAACTTTTATTCAACCCGGGCTCGAGTCTGGACTTTGATGGCGTCAGACAGTTGTCGGCTGCTCTGCCAGTCGTGGACCTGGACGACTTCTTCAGCGATGGTCCACTTTGGCGGGAAAAGAGGCAGACGAGTCAGGGAGGAGATGATGACATGGTCGAAGGTTGTGGTAGTAGCGAAGGTGAGTTCTGTCCTGCCCGTTCTTGTACTACTCTGAGCATCAAGGTCCTATCGTTTGTACCTGTACTACTCTGTGTGTGTGCATCAAGGTCTTGTCGTGTGTACCTGTACTACTCTGAGCATCAAGGTCTTGTCGTGAGTACCTGTACTACTCTGAGCATCAAGGTCTTGTCGTGTGTACCTGTACTACTCTGAGCATCAAGGTCTTGTCGTGAGTACCTGTACTACTCTGAGCATCAAGGTCTTGTCGTGTGTACCTGTACTACTCTGTGTCTGAGCATCAAGGTCCTGTCGTGTGTACCTGTACTACTCTGAGCATCAAGGTCTTCTCGTGTGTACCTGTACTACTCTGAGCATCAAGGTCCTGTCGTGTGTACCTGTACTACTCTGAGTCTGAGCATCAAGGTCTTGTCGTGTGTACCTGTATTACTCTGGGCATCAAGGTCCTATCGTGTGTACCTGTACTACTCTGTGTCTGAGCATCAAGGTCCTGTCGTGTGTACCTGTACTACTCTGTGTCTGAGCATCAAGGTCTTGTCGTGTGTACCTGTACTACTCTGAGCATCAAGGTCCTGTCGTGTGTACCTGTACTACTCTGTGTCTGAGCATCAAGGTCCTGTCG